GAACGCTGTGCTCTGGTAGTCCCTGACCCAGAGCAGCTATTACAATTCCTGTTCAGCGTAAACTGCTAAAAATAGATCAGCAGAACCACAATCTAGGAAGCCTAAGTCACAGTTCTCGCTTCTCATAGCTGTTTCCTCATTGTTTACAAACGTGTCCTCTGCGGGTGTTGGTTTGTTAGTGTGTTTTAAGCGGAAATAAAGCTGGGAATCTCCAAGCATTCCAGCCTTGGGTAGACACGAGGTCACTGGTTACAGACATCAGCATGGTCCAGTTATTATCATCGTTTCCGATCATTCGTTCTCAAAAAAGAAACCGTGGGAACGGATACAGCACAAAAACTTAGCAGAGACATAATGGAGGGAAAATGACAGATTAGAAATATTTATCTAAAAAGAGAAACAAAGGGGAAACAAACATATATAAGCTAACGAATGACACGAAAACTTTAATTGGTCTTAGGGGAGATACTTTTCTCATGACAGGAGAGCAAGGAACCTCTAGAAACAATAAATTTAAAGTACTATAAGCGAAGACGATTTTATGCAACATAAAATTAGTCCAAAGAGTTCAATGCAGCAAGATATTCTTGAAACAATGAGCCAATTTTTTTTTTAATTACAGTCACGTATGTGAAAACAAAGTTACATTAGATCATCATAAACTTATGAAGATAAGGATATAAAACTCCATGCTCTAGGAAGTAAACCAAGTACCACACCATGTGGAGGCTTGAAGAAATTTCTCAGATGGACAAATTAGGAAAGAGGATTTTTCTGCACCGCTCTCCAATGCTTGTGGCTCAGGAAACAGCCTGAGACCAGATTCTGGACTAGACAGACCATTAGTCTGATATAATACAACAATGCATAGATTCTAATGCTTACTCATTTGAGCCTAAAACTCAAAGAGCCCTAATTATGAAATACAAGCCATAACATCGATAACATTTTCCTCAATGTTATTGTATTTGACAGATAAAGTATCCAGTTCTATTTATTTTTTTTAAATTAGGGAAGAAATTTACAGTAATATAATGCCAACGACGTGGTTCTTACTGCAACACCAACTTGCTCAATAATGAGCGCGGCAGCAGCCCAAAACTAAGTAGGACACGTGACAAGGCCTAGAAGTTGGGTAATTGGGAAGAACGACTCAAAATGAAGCAGCTCAATTGGAATTCCTAGGCAGGAATAATCCCCTGCACCAGTACAGGCTGGGGGTTGACCTGCTGGAAAGTAGCTCTGCCGAGAAGGACCTGGGAGTGCTGGTGGACAACAAGTTAAACATGAGCCAGCAGTGTGCCCTTGTGGCCAAGAAGGCCAATGGTCTCCTGGGGGTGCATTAGGCAGAGTGTTGCCAGCAGGACGAGGGAGGTGATCCTGCCCCTCTCCTCAGCCCTGGGGAGGCCTCACCTGGAGGACTGTGTCCAGTTCTGGGCTCCCCAGTACAAGAGAGACATGGCACTCCTGGAGAGAGTCCAGCGGAGGGCTACCAAGATGATTAGAGGGCTGGAGCACCTCTCCTCGGAAGAAAGGCTGCGAGAGCTGGGCCTGTTCAGCCTGGAGAAGAGAAGACTGAGAGGGGATCTCATCAATGTGTACAAGTATCTGAAGGGGGAGTGTCAAGAGGATGAGGCCAGTCTCTTCTCTGTGGTGCCCAGCAACAGGACAAGAGGCAACGGGCAGAAACTGAACCACAGGAAGTTCCACCTGAACCTGAGAAAAAACTTCTTCCCTGTGAGGGTGACAGAGCATTGGAACAGGTTGCCCAGAGAGGTGGTGGAGTCTCCTTCCCTGGAGAGATTCAAAACCCGCCTGGATGTGATCCTGGGCAATATGCTCTAGGTGACCCTGCCTGAGCAGGGGGGTTGGACTAGATGATCTCCAGAGGTCCCATCCAACCTAAACGATTCTGTGATTCTGTGAAAGTCAATTAAAAAAAACATGAGGATGCAAAACACAGAGTAACACATTTTCATGGGAAAAAAAAAAAAAAAAACCTTTGCTGTAATCAGGTGGTAAGCTCTTTGTTAATTAGCTGTTTTGTTCAGGTTCATTAAGGAGCTGTGGTCTAGCCAGTAAATCTGGGCAGACTGCGAGGAAGAGTTAGGTTTACCTCTCAAAGAGGAGGCTGTTTCAGCCTTTTTCAGCCTGTGATGCAGTAAGTGGCATTTATTGCTTGTAGTCATCATTTATGCTCGATTTTATTATTTCAGCTATATTAATCACTAGAAAGAAACGTACCTGCACTGCACACACCTGAAATGATCATACAACTTTCATACACCATGTGGGGTCCCCTAACCACAAATTCCAGCTACGTTTTATCTATTCTGAGAGTGTCACTTACATCACTGTCATTTAACATTGTATTTTTTTCGTGTCTTCATTCAAGCTTAGTAGTATTTCTGTAGGACTTCAAATATTTTTTAAGAATCGGTATGTTTCCATCTATGTGAAAACGTGCAGTTCTAACCTATTTAGAAATGTGGCATTTAATCAATCTGAAGGAATAAATCCTATTAATGTTTAAGAAAATAGGCTTCGATAAAATCAGGCACAAATACTGTGAGAAAGCATATGGGTAAGGTCATTTTTCTGTGATCATGTATAAGTGTTAAATAAGTACCAAAATGCCATACAGAAAATAGAAAGATGACATTATACTATACACAGAACAGAGAATTCAAAGAAAAGAGCCAATAACAGGATATTATCAGTAAGATTTATAGTACAAAAAAAAAATCCTTCCTTACGCAAATAACTTAACCAAATTGCTTTTCATTGTTTGGTTACTACTAATAACGCTATTAGCTTGATGGTGTTTCCACCAGTAATTTGGTGTTCCTTTTAGCGAACGCGAGGATGGATATATTGGTTTACGAAGAGGGCTCAGCCCAAAGCTGTCCCCAGTCCATCAGTGCGATCTCATACCAGGGAAACGCCTGCACAGCTCTCTCCTCACAACGATCTCCCTACTGCATCCCACCTCTTCACAACGTTCATTTCTTTAACGCAATGGCCATTTCTCACTCTCAGGCAAGTGGCCCAGCTTCCAAGGAAGCTTTCAGCAATCTCTGTGCTCTTGGAGACCTCTAGCTAGGCAGTCCTGTTTATTTGTCTTGCTCTTTTTGGAAAGAGCTTAACGTTTTGTTGCCTCGCAGCATCTGTACGTTCAGTCGATATGTCAATCCAAATCGAATCTATTCAGTTAGGCAAATCAACAGAGGCATTTCTTATCCACTGAAAACATGCATAGAGAAATCTGAATAAAGATGAATAAATAGAATAGGATAACATAATCAGCAATGTCCCAAAGTCCCCGGAGAAAGAGTAATACAAATTTGGGCAGGAAATACATTCTGGATTGCCGGCCTTTCTTATCCCCTTTTAAAGCTTAGTCCATCTAACTCTCGGATGCATCGCGGACCCTCAGAGAAGTGAAGGACTTGCCGTTGGTACCAACTCCTGGCTAGGCGTTGGCACGCCCAAGCTGTCGCAAGACGCAGCCAGCCTGCTAAGGTACCGCTAACGATCGTTCGCAACGTGAGACCTTTTGAAGTATGTTAGTTTAAAATAAATAAATAAATAAATAAATCTGTTCTCATATAGCACGGCCGCTGGGAGGGGAGACGGTATTTCCCAGTGTTCCAGGCCCTCTTCCTTCGCTCCAGCAGACCCTCTCCCCATCTGGCCGCACAATGCTTTGGGGGGCCGCTCACGTTCTTACTTGGACCGAACGCTAATGTATTTGGATGCTACACGTGTGCCGAGGCCCCTCTGCGCTCTGGGTGAGATGCATTTTGGCTTCCTGCGTACCGCAGAAGGCCAGCTGAACAATCACATGTGCAAATACCTCAAGCGAGACTCGCTGGACCGAAGGAGTAGCTTGGGCCAAACGCTCTTTATCAGTTACCGTCCTCGAACCTCGGTGGGTAACGTGGGGTTGAGTAACTGAACTGAACCGAGCAAACGAACCGAACTGACTCACTGAACCTAATCGGTAAGTAACTGAACCACTTCCCTTGTGACCATTTGTGCTCGTCTGTAACCCTGGCTAGCAGAACTCTTCCCTACCAGACCAGTTTATTCTCTTCATTGCAACTGTTTGCTAAATTGTGCCCCCGGATTGTGCTACGATTTACCTGCCGCATCCTGAGCGCTGGCGCAGCCCGTCCAAAAAGGAGGCTCAAGCGCAGCTGAGGAGGAGAGCGCCGGCTCAGCTCAGCCGCGGTGGGGCAGGACGGCTCAGGGCGCAGCCCGCGCTGCTTCCCCTAAGCGAGGAACTCGGAGGAAGCTATTTCACTGCTCACGGCGGGGCACTTCGGTGAGCAAGTTCTTCCGTGTGTTTCTTCACGGCCCGGGTCCTTTACGATATGCCAGCTGCGACGTGTATTTACCACGGAACGAAGGGCTGAAGGAGCAGTCGCTATGTTTAGCTCCATGCAGCCAGAAATGGAAGTTTCCTTTAAAAAAGGAAAAGGGACCCGGAGCCCTGGCAGCCCCATAGCTGCTCTAAGAGGCAAAACTTCCTGTGCTCAAGAAGATGCTGTCATCAAAACGTCAGCACGGAAGAGCTCCTGCTTCACAGCACAGTGCTCCGGCCTGTTTCACCGAGGACTGCAACAGCCCTTCCGTTTTCCTTAATCCAATGGCATCCTGTGATTTGCTTTCCCTTCCGGCTTCAAAGTAATTCGTGGGTATGGCAGAAGGGAGATCGGGGTAGCATTCACTGCGTGCGGAAGTTTCCCTCCGGGGAAAATTAGGGAGAGTTTTCCTTTTCTCCTAAGGAAACGGAGCAATAACATGTTCTGAATAAAATCTGCGTGTTCAAGTTAGCCAGGATGATAATCAACTGAATACTGCGAGCAACGACGCTCAGGAGCAATTTAGAGGGTCCTCTAGGACGTTCAGATAGG